TCAGCGCGCAGGGTCTTCGGCGTTAGGCGCGCTCGCTCCCTTTCGGAAAGCTTCGAGCGGAAGCGGGGGAAGTTGGGGAGGGGGCGCGTGGCGGGCCGGCCAATGGGGACACGCGGGGATCGGAATAGGGACCCCAGAATACAGAGCAGCGCAAAAGGGGTTGTAGAGAGGAAAAGAACGCAAGAGACTACGCGACCGCTGATTGGCCCGTTTGAATGAGACGCCGCCACGGCCCCACGTACGAGCGCGCGCCCTTACGCTCAGAAGATCGCGCACGCGACTAACGGTCGGCAGGGTGCCTGGGCGGGGCGGGGGCAGGCGGGACTCGGGGGGTTTAAACGGATGATGGACGGCACTCCGGCCAATAGGAACGCGCAGTCGTGGGATGGTGTCACGAGACTCGCACCAGCCAATCCTTGCAGGAAAAGGCGGTGCCACAGGGCGGGGAGGAATGGAGAGCGACCAATGGGGGCCCGACCTAGCGCGGACCGAGCCTCTCGCAGCCAAGGAAATTCGTTTGATTTTGTCTATGCAAATAAGGTGCCGGTGAGGGGCTGGGCGCTGCGATCGATCTCCAGCTTTCCTCGAGGCGCCATTTTGTGTTGGGGATGACCTGTGACCTGTGTCGTGCTGGTGGAGCTTCCGCGGGCGCGCAGTGCGGCCTTGAAGGCTCGGACGCCTGTCCCTCTGATGTATGACCCCTGACCCTGGCCAGGCCTCAGTCACGACGCCGGGCCTCAGTTTCCCGGCGTGATGCCCAAGAAAGAAGAAGGAAGCGTCTCCCGGCCTCCTCAGGATCACGGCCGGTCCTGGAACGGACGCAAGGCCTCCAGCTTCTGGGCCTCCGCTGGGACTCACCTTCCCTGTCTGCGAAGTGGACGCACAGCTGCCAGGACAGGGGAGCTCCTGCAGGCCTCAGGCACAAAATGGGCCGCAGTGGCCCGAAAACGCGGGCCTGTGTTGACGCCAAGAGAGGAGGCGGCTCGGAGGCCGACGTGTCCTCAGGTGCCCATCGCAGGGCCTCTCAGCTCAGCAAAGTCGGTCCCAGTGTGGCCAGTGTCCGGTAGAGACCCCCCGGCGACCAGCTTCTGGATAAGGAGGCGGGGAGGCTAAAGCCACCTGCCGAGGAGCAGTCATAGTTGAGGCCTGGCAGTGCCAGCATCCCCACACCTGCCCTTCAGTCGGCCTGCTGGACACAGGCCTTAACCGGCATTTAACAGGAACACTGAAGGAAGAGCCGGTCGGGTGACTTCCCACCCCAGCCGCACCCAAGTCAGGACAAGGCGGAGGTGGTGGCCAAACTGGGCGGGCTCACAAACCCCACAATAGACGCGGGGAATGATGGCTGCTGACTGTGCAGGCCGATCGCCAGGCCTTCTCTAGTTCTTGGCGGGCTTGATCTGTGACATCCTGCCAGGCGGGTGTTTTATGATTCCCCTCCGGACACCTGCATTCATTCAGTAAACTTTTGTTTTTAAAATATTTTTATTGATTTCAGGGAGAGGGAGGGAGAGAGAGAAACAGTGATGAGAGAGAGTCATGGATCGGCTGCCTTCCCCATGACCCCTGCTGGGGATCGAGCCTGCAACCCCGGCCTGTGCCCTGGTGGGTAATCTAACCTCGATCTCCTGGATCCTAGGTCGATGCTCAACCACCCCGGCCCCAGGCAGGAAGAGGCTTTCTTAACGGTAAATCAATACTGAAATGCACAGTGCACGCAAGGCACACCCACAGGGGTGTGCACAGGCGGGCTTTGATGCAAGGCAGGGTCTGCAATTTGTAAACACACTTAGATGCCCCTGGGGGAAGGGGCTCTCCTAAAGTTCATAAAACCGAGCCTTGCCGGCACCTCCTGAAAAGGAGGGGTAACCTTTGCATATTGGCTATGCAAATATTCTAACACAGTGGGTGGGAGAAGGGTGGTGAGGAAAGGTCCTAGCTATAAAAACTGGTGCTTAAACCGACCATGCCCTGTCACACCTGTTACAGGTTGAGTTGTGTTCCTCTCTCCCCTAAAAGATGTTCAAGTTGGAACCTCCAAGACCTGTGACTGTGACTATTTGGAAATGGGGTCTTTGAAGATGGTCGAGTTAGGATGAAGTCATTGGGGGTGGGCCCTAATCCCATATAACTGGAAATTTGGGCACAGAGACAGATGCGGACCCAGGGAAGATGAACACCAGGCACTGCCAACAAGCCACTGGAAGCCAGGAAAGAAAGGCAGGGAACAGACTCAGCCCCAGGGGGAACCAGCCCTGTGACACCGCGGCCTTGGACTTCCAGCCTCCGGAATTGAGGGATGATATTCTGTGCTTAAGCTGCCAGGTGTGTGGTAGTTTGTTTCAGCAGCCCACTGATACTCAGCCAGAGAATTCAAATATAAGGAGGTGCAGACAGAGAACCTGCCAGCAAATGCTAAATGCTCAGAGGGAAGAGACTTTCTTAGGAGGAAGTGAGGACTTGAAGGCACCTCCCACACCCCCCATTCCTCCCCACCCCTACCTGGTGCCGGATTCCTTGCTTGGTGTGGTCAAAGGGAGGCAGCCCTGACCACCTTTGAGGACACTTAGATGCCTGCCCCTCACCCTGGCCACACGGGGAATCCCCAGTGACCTGTAAACACGCAGGTGGAAACCCATCTCTTCCCAACAGTGACTGTGAGCCTGGGAATCAGGAAAACATCTGTTTATTCCAAAAATACCAACTTGTAGCTCAGCCGGCTGCCTCACCAAGGAACTTGGGGAGAGTCTGGTGTCAGGTTAGGGGGACAAGGAGAGAAGCAGAGCTGGGGAGGGTCTCCCAGTCCAGAACTGTTTGTCTTGTCTCTACTCCTCCCCCCACCCCCTGCCCAGGATTGGAAGCACGTGTGTGTTTATGGGGGGAGGGGAAAGACTCAGATGGCGAGGCCCGAGCTCCAGAAGCATCCAGGGGACCTGGTAGGACGTGCCCACTTCCTCACTTCCTTGGGACCTCTCCTCACTATGGCTTATTTGAGATAAGAGGCCAAGCCCCAGGGTTGGGGCGAAATACCTGGAGTCCAGGACAGGAGAGAGCAAAGCGAGGGCATACAAAAGCTGAAGGGTCAGAGTACCCCAATTCTGGGGGCTGGAGAAAGCTGAGTGCTTTGTGGGGGTGGTGAGCAGAGGGGTAGGGTCTGGGAGGGGTAGGTGCTCAAGCCGGCTCTTTTTGGGGGAAGTCACAGTCTGCTCCAGGGGCACTGAGCATGAGGCGGCCCTAGAAGGGATTAGGAGAGTCCACAGGAGCAGCTGTAAGCATGGCAATGAAAACTGGCCTAGGTAAATGGGGGTACCCTTCCCCGCATTTCCTCAGTGTTTGTGGGGGCCAAAGGCTGAACAGGGATGAACTGAGGTGCCAGTATTCAGGGCAAGGGGAGGCAGAAGGAGGAGGGAACGACCCAGAGGAGGAAAGAGGCCCCCCAACCTGACCTTGGAGGCTGGGGGAGGGGATGTGTAGCCCTTTAAGAGTGGGGGAATGGCCGCCCCCCCACCCACAGCATGGCTATGTACAAAGATACTTGGGGACAAATTGTGCATTGGGTGTTGGCAAATCCCCGAAAGCCTTGGGGACTCCCCAGTGTGTGCGGGGGAGATGGAGGAGAAAACGCTTCTCCAGTTGTTGGATGATGCAGAGCCCCCACCCACAGATGGCTGCATGGCCGTCCAGCTGTGCCTGCCCAGGACCAGGCCAGCAGAGGACATGATTGAAGGCCCCAGGAAGTTAGCAGCTTCAGTCCAGCCCACAGGAGTCTCCACGGAGAGTCTGGCCCAAGTCAATGGAGTGCTGCTTCAGATGGAGGTCCAGGTAAGAGGGACTGGGCAAGGAGCAGTGACATCACCCAAGGACTGGACAGTCCCCCCTCTGGTGTTGACCCTGTCACCCATCAGATAGATGAGCAAGGGCAATGAGTTGTCAGGAGGGGCCCGGATGCCCTCACCAGACGGGTAGTAGGGGAGCTGGCCAAGGCCAAGTCTGTGGTGGGGTTGATGTAAGCATCAGACTAGTCTGGAGTGAGGCAGTGACATCACCAAGAAGGGCCAGAGTAGGGATGGTGTCATCAGAGGGGGTCCCTACTCTATTTTTGAGGCAATGGGAAAATGCTGTGGATTGTGCTGGGTTCCCTTATGGGAACAACTGTAGGTGCCATGTGACCCCAGAAGACAAGTGAAATACAGCTGTTGTAGTACTTGGCTCCCAAGATGATGGATCCTGGGAGATGATACATGGCTGAAATGCACCCTGGGAGGTGATGATACTACTGGGTGTCATGGGTCCTGGGAGATGATGTCATGGTTATGGTGGATCCTGACAGATGATACCATGGTTGAAATGGATCCTGGGAGATGACGACGCTATTGGGTATCATGGGTCCTGGGACATCATTACTCTCATGGATACCGGGGGGTGGTGACACCATGTCTGAAGTGTATCCTGGGAGGTGATGACACCATGGCTAGGGCGGATCCTGAGGCATGAAGACATTATGGTTGAAGTGGATCCTGCAAGGTGATGACATCACAGTTATGGGGACTGTAGGAAATGGTGGTCTCATCAGTGCTAGCGGGTCTTGGTAGAGGGTGTTACCATCAGCCAGAGGGTTCTGGAAGGTAACAACATCACTGGTCATGGTGAATTCTTGGAGACGATGCTATAATGGTTGTGGTGGATCCTGGGAGATGACACCGTGGAGTGGAGAATCATGGAGGATGGTGATACCACTGGGCATGGGGATGCTTGGGAGAAGGTGACCCTACGCGGTCATGGTAAATCCTGGACGAGGGCGTTACCATAGGTCGTAGGGAAATGATGTCATCATCAGGCATGGTTAGCACAGGACCCCAGGTGCAATGCCATCATGAGTGGTGGAAGTCTTGTGCTGATGGTGTCAGCAAGGTCAATAGCAGGCATCCCCACCCTCCCCGGCCTCAGCAGGACCAGGACTTCGTTGACAGAGGCAATGATGTCTCGAGTTACGGCATGTGCCTTTGGAACACCAGTGAGTCTCAGGACTCCAAGAGTCTGGTGGGCAGAGTAGCCTCCTTGAGAGAAGAAGCCAGCCTGGGAGTGCTGTCCTCCAGGAATCACACAGGAGGTGTCATCACTGCACAAGGGTGGGACCCAAGGCGCAATCTCCCTTTAGAGGGAGCATCTGGTGGAGATCCCGCAGGGCATGTCCGTGGGGTCAGGGGAAGGAGCGACCACACTAAGTCATGGCGGGACAAGGCAGAAACTGGTGACACCATCACAAGTGATGGCCCTCCAGAGCGGGCAGTGTCTCTGGTGATGACATCACAGCATTGGGGCAGAGCCTCAGGCAGGAGTGGAGGTCCTCATTGCAAACAACCTATAGACCACCTAAACATCACCTCTGGAGAGACCTTTCCAGATGGGGCAGCCTGCCCTGTGATGACATCCTTCCGGTGACATCTCAGGACAGGGCACTTTCTCATGGACCCCGGTCATGCCATGCCTTCTTGTGATGTGGCAACAGCAGTAAGGTGTCCCATGGTGTCATCTCAGAGCAGGCAGAGTCTGGTGGTGACATTGCAGAAGGGCTCTCACCTCTGGTGATGAACCCCCTGGAAGAGGCACAGTCCCTCAGATGATGTCGTAGGGCAAGGCACCTTCTCTGGTGATGGCATCACAGGAAGGAGGCGGAGTCCCTGTGATGATGATGTGTAAAGAAGGCCTTATGTCTAGCGAGGAGACACTTGGTGAGGGCTTCCCCTGCGATGTGTCCCTGCAAGATGGCTTTGTCTGTAGTGATGGCATCATAGACAGAGGCATCTTCTCTGGAGGAAAATATTTTCCTGGTGATGATGTCAAAAGAGGCCTTTTGGTGCCAGAGATGATATCATAGGGCGATATTTGTCTCAGTATGACATCACAGGAAGGAAGTCTGTTATGACATCATGGAACCTGGCCTCCAGTGAGGACCTCATGGGAAGGTTTGGTCCCTGTGTGGACATTGTTGCCAGTGATAACCTCACAGGCAGGCCGCTCCCTCTGTGATGACGTCATGGGAAGGAGCCCCGGCCTCAAACAGTGACATAGGAGGAGGGATCCTATCTGCTGTGACACTAGAAGGCGGCCTTGTCTCCGGCGCCGATTTCATTCAAAGCGGTGTCCTCAGAGGCAGCCCCGCCGCCCGGCTACCGGCCAGTCTTGGTCCAGGGCCGCGGAGCGCGTCGGGGGGTCCAGGCTGAGGAGGGCTCGCCGGGCCCAGCCCTCAGCCGGCCCGGCCTCACACAGTCACCTCGTTCTTGCTGGCGGTGCGCAGGTGCTGCGGCAGGTGGTGGCCCGGGATGAACTGCAGCTGCTCCAGCGTGCCCTGGCGCTGGAAGGGCGGCCTGCGGGCCAGCGTGCCCCCGCCCCCGCCCGCGTCCATCCAGGC